GGAAGGAGGGGGGACATACCTGCACGTGCACGTCCATTTCCTGGAAATAAGGGGGGAGGGAGCGTGGGAAATTCCCCAATACTGGCCACTTACTACTGAGCTTTATGAACGAATGACTACATTTGCTCGTAAATTACCGGTCTCGCGACGTACACTCACGCGGAGATTAGAATTAATTAGCAACGATCTACGAGCTCAGTTGCGAACAGATTTCTCGCGTGGTGATTATTTTTCTTTTCAATTAGACGAATCAACGGATAGATCAGATCACGCCCAAGTCGCAGTTTTCGTTAGATGAATTTTCCCAGATCTTTCCGTCAAAGAAGAATTATTCACCATGTTTTCCCTGCAAACCACGACAAAGGGCGAGGACATTTTTGCAGACTTGAAAAACGATTTCAGTGCTACAAAAGTGCCCCTCGATAAGTTAGTTAGTATCATTACGGATGGGGCGGCTAACATGACCGGGCGCGTGAAAGGGTTTATTGCGAGATGCAAAGATGATTCCGATTTTCCCAAATTCAGCCACTTCCATTGCCTTCTTCATCAATTAGCATTATGTGTAAAGAAAATTTCCGTTGGCGTAATTTCATTAGTTGTTAAATTAATTAATTCCATAACCGCGAAACCGCTACAGCACCATTTGTATAATCTTTTCAAAGAACAGAATGATTTAGAATCGCGCGATTTATTGTATCACACAGAAGTGAGGTGGCTGAGCAAGGGCGCTATGCTCGAAAGGTTTTGGGAAAATCTGGAAGATATCGTAGCTTTTTTCGAATCCCGCAATGAAAATTGTGGTGAATTGTACGATATTGAATGACTCTCAATGCTTCCATTTACCGCTGACTTGACGGAAAATATCAATTCTGATCACAAGCAAATGCAAGGCTCTAATATATTTTTTTGTGAGTACCTAAAAGTTCTTGAAAATTTCAAGTTTTTCCTGTTCTCCACAATTGCTGAACTTAATAAAAATTCTATCCCTTTTGTTTTCTCAAGACTAGAGAGTCTTGCTGATAAGCATGACGATCTTAAACTGGATTTTGCTAATTTTTCTGTATGTACTGAATAGATTTTAAATAACATTAATTCTAGATTTCAAGATATAGTTGAAACCAGACATCCGCCGAATTATTTCGTTAATTAATGAAAATTCCCATCCGGTAAACCAAGTTCAGATTTATCACGAGATAATTAATTTGCAACGCGACGAAGAGCTTTTGCGACTAACTTCAAATAGCATTTGGCAACAAATTTCCGAAACAAACGCGTATTCGAATCTATTACTTGTTTATACAAGAATTGCCTGTTTGTTCGG